ACTGGCCGACTCCCCGACTTCCCGACTGGCCGATTGGCCGACCCCCCGACTCCCGACTTGCCGATTCACCGATTCCCCGACTCCCCGACCCGACTGGCCGACTCCTCGACTCCCCGACTGGCCGACTGGCCGACTCCCCGACTCCCCGACTGGCCGATGCCCCGACTCCCCGACTGGCCGACTGGCCGACTCCCCGACTGGCCGCTCGCTCGCTCGCTCGGCCGTGCATCCGGTGGGACGCGTTGGCAAACTCAGGTTGCGACGTTGGCAACCGAACGGAAAGCATGAACTGCAAGTGTACAATGAGTGCTGCAAAACTAAGAAGGGGGAGGGGAGGGAGGAAGGCGAGATTGACTCAGACCGTACACTGAAGAAGCCCACTGCTGTCGAGGCCGGCCTCGTCGTCGATGTAGCGCCCAACACTTTGGTGACCCATCTGGCTCGCATACAACTTGTCGCACCAAGGAGGGATGCACACTTCTGGAAATCTTGAGGTACGCCTTCTCCTGCCTGTCCAGAAGAACATCCGACAGAGGTTTCGCGCCAGCTCTCTTCATACCGTCTGCGTTGCTAACTCTCGAGATGAACGAAGGAGGTACGCCGACAATGCGTCGTAGACACCTGCAGTGGAAAGCATCAAGGCGCGCCCTGTCTGCTTTCAGCAACCAAACTGAGTCCAATGAGTAGAGCAGCTTGCTCACCACACAACTTGTGTAAATACTGTGCTTTCGCCGTTTTCCAATCGAGGCGTGGCTCCAGAGCTAGTAGAAGTGTATCGTCGGCGTAAAGGATATCGCGCGTCACGACATATGCCGGATCTTCTTGTAGATCGAGTTGGCCAAAGGCATCATGCAGCATCACGCTCTGTACGATGATGAACAAGTATGGTGATAAAGGGTACCCTTGTGCTATGCCCGCCCGCTGTTGTTTCTCAGTGGAAGAGCCTGTATGGTCCAATATAGTGAAATATCTCGCCTCATAAATTGATCTAATCATGGCCATCATATCTGCTGGAATACCAAAACGACCCAAAGCGTCGCACATGCAGTCTGGTTTGATCCTGTCGAATGCTTTGGCCCAGCCCATCATTACAAGAATTATACCACCATTTTTGTCTTGGTACGCTGCATCGATGATGCGCCGGACCAGCATGAACGCATCTTGAGTGCCCCTCCCTGGTCTGAAGCCGTACTGAGAGTTTCGTAGTCGACGTTCTGCTCCGCCGTGTAGAAGCCTTCGGTGCAGTAGTGCTGCAAGAACTTTGTAACTCACTGGAAGTAAGGATATGGGCCTGTAGTTCGCCGGCAAAAGAATATTCCCCCTTTTGAATAATAGTATCACGTTCGCGCGTTTCCAAATTTCTGGAATGGCCTTTTGTTCCTAACACTTCTGACACATGTCGAGCAAAACGCCGCACGCGGTTGTATCAGATACCAATACTTTCCAAAAGTCCGGAGGTACATAATCTGGGCCGGCGGCTTTTTCTTTCTTCAGCTTCTGAAGTACAGCTTGAAGTTCTTCCATCGTGAAAGCGCTGGTGTTGACAGGAAGTGCGTCGCCCAAGTGCGCATGGTGATTCGGTCGTGTCTCTGGGAATTTGTACTCCCACTGTAAGTGTTCAAAATAATCTGCCAGTACGTCTGCTCTTTCAGATGTGTCCCCCTCGCCAGGAACCACTCTCTGGATTGAGGCTCCAGCTGGTCCTGATCTACATGCGCCGCCACTTTGCGGATGGTGAATTCAGCATCCCAAGCTGGCGATGCACGTATTTTCATGCGCATGCCCGCATAGATATGATGCCGAGAGGCGACGGCTGTCCAAGGGGCGTCGGACAGCTGGACTAGACCAAGAAAGTCAGAGTGAATGCCGCTTGCGTCAGGACAGTGCTCCATTACGGCTAGGGCTGCTACATGCTCTGCCGCAGGGGACGTCTGCGGGTAATGGCTTCCAACCGCACCCCATAAAGCGGCAAAGATGTCGCCCCCCGCTGTGAGCTTGACTGCTGCCCACCCTGCTACGTGAAACTCCTCGGGCCCTTCCTTGAGGCACGATCCGTCTGTGAACACCTCCCCGCGAAATGCCTCCTTGACACTCAGTGCGGGGTCCGCGCACCAAAACTTAAAAGGTCTAGTGCCTGATCCACTTGGTGGCTGGACAGAAAAACCTGGCAACTCCAGGACCCCGCACACCAGGGGGAAGTTGCGCCGGCGGTCGCTGAGGATGGTCACGTCAATGGGCTCCAACATGTCGGCCCTGAGCGGGGCCGACAGCGGGCAGTGGTGGAGCCTGTGAGAGAGATGGTCCACTGGGGACCCGCATGCGCAAATGGAAGATGCCTCGTACCCTGCTTGCTGGAGCTTGTGTCCAGTCCACGCCGACTGGCACAGAAATGACATGAGGATGCTGGCTTCCTGTCTGGGCAGCCTCCCCCCTGATATCAGGTTCCTGGCAACGCTTAAATCGAGAGATGCTCCGGGCCCCAATCCGAATTTGGCCGCGA